GTTTCTGATTTGCACCTGTCCATATTTTTGTGTTATTCTTATGGCAGAAGATGCTGAGGTCAGTGCTTCCTCTGTGACCTTTCTTCTGTTTTATTTTAATTCCACATTGAACCCTTTGATCTATGCCCTCTTTTACCCCTGGTTTAGGAAATCAGTCAAACTAATTCTTACGCTGCAGATCTTAAAGTCTAACTCAACTGACACTTTTGTCTTGTAATTACAGTTTTTGTCAATGATACCAAGAAGATAGATAGTACACTAGAAACCTAAAACATAACAGGCATTGATTGTTATTGTCATTGATATTTGGACATAGGCTTTCCTAGATCATCCATCACCTATAAATGGGAAAGATAATGTTTGGTTTTTTTGGAGCAACATAAAGTAACACTTATTTTTAGTTTTCATCCCAGTGATAATTAAAAAGCATGTAGGCAAAGTTTTTACACTTTCAGTCTCAAGTCATAAGTAGATCTAATGTTTAATTCAAAATGCTGATTAATGATGACAAAAAGGATATTTAACCGAAGTTTGTACAGTTTTAATATGAAGCTATATTATTAGCTTTAGCTTCAACATTTTCTCATCTAATATTTCTCAAATATCTGTTTAGTTTTTTATCTTCTGGATTCAACAGTTTGTGCAAACTGCTTGTGCAAAGGCATGAATTCACAACAAATGAAAAAATCCTGCAATCACGAAAACGAAACTTGCAAATGTGGGCTTTGTGTGGGTGGCTTCACTTGGTGTATTAAAAAAAAAAAAAAAGGAATAGCTATGGCAGCAGGTACTTTAATCCTCCATCTGCATTTACATACAAAGAGCACAGAAGTAACACCAGTCTCTCATACAAAGTGCTCTATCTAAAAATAGGTGTTATAACATTACTGAACAGCATTTCTTACTACTTTACATCAGCAAAACACTTAAAGTAGGATAAAAACAAAAGACCTACAAAACTACTATGTTTCAGTTATATTGTTCAGTATTACCCATATGGGCAAACTATAAACATGTTTCCAAGAACAACAATCATCTTTGCTTATCGGACATTGCAGAGAGAAGTCACCTCATAAAACTTCACTTTTTAAGGGTTAACTTTTGACCAGCAGATGGATTTTAGCTAAATTTAAATAGAACCACTAACAGACAAACTTCCAGCACAAGCAAATGAGAACGACTGCAAAGGACAAATTGTGAAATACAGAAAACGAAGAGGTTAAAATAAAAAACATACATCCAAAAAAAAACCTAATGAAAACACATAAATGAAGTGCTGTTAACCAATATGAAGAGATAATCATCAACTCGTATGTTTGGCAATTTATAGGAGTTTTCTATTCTGTAATAAATAAGTAATGCAATTACTATTGTGTTTATTTCAATGATGTGTATAATTTCGAAATGTTGTGTAGAAATTTGTTGGATTTTGTTTTTATTTAGACCACTTTAAAACCAATTTTCCATTTAATGTTCTATGTCTGTACACTGTTCATGCAAGGCAATATATCATGGCTGCACTATTCACATTAGCCATGTTTAGCCTTGTTTGAAACCTTAATCTATTGACTATAAAGCCAAACAGGGCATGTTGTCTTAACCAATGACAGCAGGACTTAATGAGGCATGATATCGCTCTACTCGGCGTGTCATTGGCTGACAGGCAAGGAGCACATGTTATACTTTGGGGGCTGTCCCTGAGTCAAATCGAATCATATACAAAGATGCAGACACTTTTGTTTTTTACGCAGGAAGGTGATAAAAACAAAATTACCCAAAATCAAAGGAATATATTGGAGAAAGTCAGTCTTATGAACAAAATGCTAAGTTTAGCTATGACCAGTGAACTTTTTTCATGCTAAAAGGCAAATGTTATATGGCCATTTTCTTATCACAGAATATTTGTATTATGTAAATTCTGGATTACTTTTATCTGTGGACCCTTATGGTTGAATGGAGTATAAACAATTGAAGATTGGATTTATAACAGAAGTCACAGGTTAGCGGACCGCAGCGGGACCAGGCTGCACATGATACAAATTAGCAAATGAGCTGTCTGTCTGGGTTACTGCTGCTAGCTACTTTTTGACAAAGCAGGCAAACCTTTGACAAGCCGGGAGATGGGAAAGGAGAAGACCATAAGAAAAACAGAGCAGAGAAAGTGTGGAAAGTTTCATCAGTCCAGCAAAATGGGTGGAACAGCGGAGGCTGTAGGCTTTGCTTTTCGCAGGCAGTCTAGAGTGGAGCGGGGCGGTTATGGAGGATGTAGGATTTTGGGGTCCCTCTCTGCTACACAGCCAATTTCTAACAGTTTTTTAGCTGCTGTACCAGACAAAACAGAACTTTGCACTTGTTTTATGCAAATGTCAAGGACTCATAAATCTCTAAAATAAGACCTCCTCGGAAAATCAGATAACAATCTTGTTTTTCTCCACTCAGACTTTTAGCTGCTTTAAAAGAGACAAGATGCATACAAAAATACAAAGCAAGAAGATGGTCAAAGATAGCTGAAGAAGCACTGCAAGGTTTGTTTTGTGGCTACAGACTTGGTTTCACTGTGTCGGCCACACGGAGAAGACATCGATTCAGTGGCACTTCTCAAATAATAAACCAAGGATCACAAGTGATCTTCTGGTTTACTTTTTCACCAAACTATTTTTTCTACTGATATCCAATTGAATAGCCTGATAAACAAGACTAAATGTGAGATTAAATGTGTAATTTAGTCTGGCCCCGATGAAAGAGACATCAGTTGATGAGAACAAACAGATGTTTTTCAAACCATGTCTTGACCTGATGAAAGAGACATCAGTTGATGAGAACAAACAGATGTTTTTCAAACCATGTCTTGACCCGATGAAAGAGACATCAGTTGATGAGAACAAACGGATGTTTTTCAAACCATGTCTTGACCCGATGAAAGAGACATCAGTTGATGAGAACAAACGGATGTTTTTCAAACCATGTCTGGCCCCGATGAAAGAGACATCGGTTGATGAGAACAACCGGATGTTTTTCAAACCATGTCTGTGCCTATTGGCCAACGCTCTGACCAATGAGCGCAAGTGACTGTGACGTAGTAAGCGCAAAAGAAAGCTGGTGGGGGAGTGTAAACAAACAGCCTGTCGGTAAAATGGTGAATACGTCCTTCTTAAAAATGAATGAGCGTAGAGTCCTCTTCCTGCTCATGTTTCAACGAAAACCCCAAGTCTAATCCTTCCAAAACTGATTCCAAAGCTGAGTCAAAAAATGCCATCAGAGCCAGCGGTCCTTCACACACGACTATTCCGAGAGAGGGCCGCTGCAGATGGGCCGCAGTTAGCCCTCGCTGCCATTACCCTCGGATGTCCTCTGGTTCCCACGGTCCTCTCAACTTTGGAGATAAAAAGCTTCACTTAAAAAGTGACAATGTTGGCTGCATGCTGATACACAAACCAGCAATTCTGTATATATGAAGGCAGATTTTCAACCAAGCCAGTGTCTGAATGATTCCTGCCATATTGCTGGGTTGGTGGTTAATCAAGATGCAGAGGTGGGGACTGAAATTTTACAGCTAGACACTGCGGGTCATGCAGCCATGCAGCTGCTGTCCTATTCCAACAGCGTCCAACCTATTACCCCAATGTGATTTTGCACCAAGAAATAAATTTTAAAAAATCCTCTGTTTATTCATATTGCTTTTTTTTCCACGATGATTCTTTTAGAAACATGAACACAAACACAGGGAAGGGTGCTTACATGACAGAGGTGTTCAGGTCCACTGGGAGAGCAGGTAGTTTGATACATGATTCAGAGACGTCAACAAACAAGGTTAAATAAGCTCATCGAGCGCATGAGTAACTGCACTGGAAAAAATCTAAATCTAGATAAGTCATTTTTTCTTAAAATTAGTGCATTTGTTCCACAATTGAAGAGGTAAAATAGAGATCTTGCCAATGGAACAAAAGAATTTACATTTAAAATAAGAAAACACAATTGCATTGTCTTATTTCAAGTGCATATCATCTAAATACTTTAAGAGTAAAAATACTCATTCCATTGGCAAATCATCTCATTTACCTACTCAGATTAAAGCTGAAGTCTGTAAGTTTTTAAAAATCACTTTTTTGTCATATTGGCTAAAACTGTCCCTATGCCCAGACAGCAGTACATGTGATATGTAACCTGTGAAAAAAACTGCTTCAATTGGTCCCGCATACTGCCTGTATTTCAATCTGGAAAGAATAATTCGGGACGAGTCAAAACAACCAATCACAGCCAGAGGAGCGTCTGATGGAGTGTCAATCACATTCCATCAGGGGGCATGAGTGAAGCAGAGAGGATGGGGGAGTGACGTGAAACCTGTTTTTCTTCAAATTTTCAGTCGAAGTCTGCTCTCTTCTCAATGTTACAGACTGCAGCTTTAAGGGTAAATACAATTAATTTAAGAAAGTTTTACTTATTTCTAGACCATTTTTGTAGTTAATTTTCCTCATTCTGTAACAATATGCTGCTTTTGGGAAGACTAGTTTGACATCTGCCTTATAATAGCGCGCCAAGATGCCCTGCTAATTTCCGTAGGTTTTACCTGGGGTAGGGGGCAGGTCATGCAAGTGCAGATTAGACTTAGTGCTGGTGAAGATTCTCAGTTATCCAGGTCATAGCCATAGCCATTCCAAAAAAGTTAATAAACAAATCTTAGAAAGCTTTGAAAGCTTAGACTTAGACTCAACTTTATTTATCCTTTGGGATTACTCCGTCAGGGAAATTCTGGTTCCAATAGCTTATATAGGGTAGAAAGCGCAGAGTTAAAGCAAGGTGCAATTAAGGATAAAAATACAACAGACAATATAAAAAGGGTGTATATAGTACAAAAAAAAACATTCAAAAGGTTGTAATGTCCCGGGATGTATTTCCTTTAATTATTAAATCATCTGCACAGTAGAGAGCTAAGGGAAGACTACACAGAAGTTCACTTGGATGATTGCACTTCTACTGCAGAGATGTAGTGACCTGTACAGTAATCTTTTATTACATATTTTTTTTTACCCAATACAGAGTTGCTGCCTTCAGAAACAACTTTGATTGCAAGCTCTTAGATCTTCAACTCTCCCTCACGCATGCCACTGAGTGCTCTTCCTGACGTTCCCAGTCATTCATAGTAGAAATCAACAAAAATGGCAACCCTGTACTTCTGGCTTATTAACTTGTCTATAAGAAGAAAAATACCTAAAAGACATAATACAGAAAATCCTTCAACCCTGATCATTTTAATATAAAAATGTCAAATGTACATGTATGGCATATAATAAAATGCAAGCATCATTTCACTATTTTTATCAATGGATTCTGGAATTCTGAGACTGCATTAGAGTAATTCCTCACAAGAGCCCGGCTGCAGTATCTGTAAAGTAACAATATGGCTGATTGCTTTTCGGAACCAGGGGTAAAACAGTGCATAGATTAAAGGGTTTAGACAAGAATTAATATAAAAAAGAAAAATAACAAATGTTGCATGTGTACTGCTAAAATTAACCTCAATAAGAGAGTAACAGTAATATGGACAAAAACACACAAGATATACAACAATGAGAAGGCCAAGAGTCCTGGCTGCTTTTAAATCAGATTTTGCTATTAAAGGCACTGCATACTGGAGTGTGGAGACTGTAATGTGAGAACGTATAGCACGAGCCTGAGACACAGCCACTACAAATACTTTCACATAGAGTACTATGATGATAGTAACTGGAAATATAAAACTTAAGATAAGATCAAGAGTTCCTATAACATAATTGATGATAAGTGTGCACTCGCCTGTACAAGAATTGCTTCTTCCTGGTTCTATTAGCTCATCTTTTAGATAGAACATGCTGTAGAGAGCATACCACAGCCAACATAAACACACAAGGCATTTAGCCTTTGCTGTAGAGATTCTCGTGGTGTAATGCAGAGGGTCACATATAGCAATATAACGATCTACAGAAATAAGAATAATGTTCCCAATCGAAGCACAGACTACGTGAGTAACTAGGTAACAATACAAAACACACATAATATCTCCGAGAAACCAGCAGGCTGTGTTTCTGTACATTTCTAACGGCATCAGCAGCAGACCGACAAGAAAGTCTGACACAGCCAGAGAGAGGAGGAGGATGTTAGTAGGTGTGTGGAGCTGCCTAGAGGAAAATAGGGAAAACATCAGTTACAAATCAAGTTCAATATTCTAGCTACACACAAAAAGAAATTATAATGGATATTAAAATCTACATTTCCAAACTTAAAATGTTGTTTATGTAAGGAATTTAACATCTGCCTGAAATGGGAGATTGAAATGATGATGAGCAGGTTGAGCACAACAGTAACAAATGAGATGAAAGACAGCACAGCATTTCTGAAGACCACTTCAGACCAGTGAAGCACTGGCTTCCTGCAGGAGATGTTAAGAAGATGTGGGAAACAGAGCTCAGCTCTGTGTTGGATCTCCATCCTGATCCGTAGTACCCTAACAACATCTGTTGAGTGCTTGTTCTTTTTGTAGCATACAAACCCCCACCCCCCCCACCCCCTTGTGTTCTTTGTTTACTTTGAAGTATAATTGTCACTACTTTTCAGGGTTTGGTTGAGGTTTGAGGACCCAAATGCAGAGGCAGGGAGGCACAGGTGAGTTTTTGTAGATTTAATGAAATGTTCAAAAACAACTGAGGCAGGAATCCAAAAATGCAACAAGAAAAATGTAAAACAAACCAGAACCATGGAGACATCAGGTGAAAACAATCACCACCAAGGTAAGACAAAGAGGAAGCATAACCATGTAAGATGGAGTTAGACGAGGAACCAGCACTGAGGAACCACACAAGGAGATTATCAATGGGAGACTGAAACAAAGAGAGGACTAACGAGCAGATTGGGAGCAGGTGTAAAGTGAGGAGTTTAGAAAGGAGCTAGGGAAAAAGGAGACCGACACAAGAGGGCAACAAATAAAAACCTAAGAACTGAAATATAACCAGAAAACACAACAAAATAATAATTAAACCAATAAAACTAGAAAACATGGAGCAAAGTAAATCTCAATACTCAAAAGAAAACATAACAGAACTAAGACACTACTACTTCCTTAAATATGGTAGGTATATAAAGTAGCGGCTGGTGGAGTTTTCACCAGGGGGGGTATGAATTCAAAATAAGCATATACCAAACCAATCAAACACATACTAGTTTATTACAAAAGCATATTTATATGAATGCCAACAAACAAAAATCATTATGAAAACACTTTATAAAAAAAACAACACAATTTCATGTACAGGTTTACTTTTTTTCATAAATATTTTCCTTCTGTGGCTTTGTGAAGGCAAATCTGTGTTTTGCATGTGTCATGATTTTATCTAGAGTTCTGACCCACATGCAGAAGACCAAAACAGAGAGACCAGGGAAAAGTTTAACAGGTTTTTATTGAAAGTGAATGGGATGAATCCAGGTCTGCTCTGTACACTGTCGAACCAGAACTGGAAGGTGAAGGGGAAGACATAGCGTTGTTCTAGTGATCCTATAGCTCGTTGGAGGGCGGACAGGGTTTACCCAGATGGCGGTTGTTCCTTGGTGAACGGAGAAGCTGACTGCCACTTAGTTTTCCTGCGGTACTTGAACGGGTTATTGTGAAGATGAATCCCCTGCTCAGAGAGAAGCCCCAAACAATCCTTGGGGGGGAAAGTAGATCCAAAACACAAACTTGAATCCTCAGCTCAGTTTGGTTCTCAGAGAATCCTTCCAGGGGCGAGAAGGTGCAAAACATCCAGTTTGCAGGATGACTTCTTGCCGAGAGGCAAAGACAAAAACAGCAAGGTTAAAACTCAGATTGACTAAAACTCAGTTTGACTCAGCAAAACTCAGCTTGGCTAGAGTACCTAAAACTGGCAAACACTCTGGTGTCGAGGTAGTGGCAGTCGGCAGCTTAAGAGTGCTCCATTAATGAGGTAACCATCCGCAAGTGTGTGAGGAGGCCAACCAGAACCAGGCACTGCCTGTTGGTGGAGGGAAAACAAACAAAAACACAAACGACACAGACTGGATTCCTAACAGCATGGTCTAATATTGTGTCACAAACCTAAAGAATAATGTATCCTTTTAATAATGGAGAAGCTAATAGTCAGCTTTATATTTTTTTTAATATAAAAACTATTTATTTTCTGAGTCTGTAGAGTGAATGTGTTTTTTTTTAAGAGCAACTGTGCAAATTAACAAACATTTAGAAAAAGTACACTATATTATATTATTTTCCATGTGAATCCCAGATTGTTCTTTCTTCTTTGCCTTTTCTAAAAAGTGCTTTAAATCAGTCCTACCTGTCTTTTTCCATGCTGGGTCAGATCATGACGCTTGTTAAAAATAGGCAGGCAGTTAAGCTGTAAAGTGTTAGCCTCACTGCATGCAGTTAGTCAAGCCACCTATCTAAACCAGTTAATGGAAAACGACAGAGTGTACTGTCTATATACATCTTTGGACTGCTGATTAATTTTGATGTTTGGCTGATCAGGTCCAAACGTTTTCACCTCCAGCCTCTCTTGGTAAGTCTGCTATAAGGGGCCTGTCAATCAACCACACTACGACTGCGACAACAGATTTGCATCCTTTTGCATTGCAGAGGAGCTACTGCACATGTACAACTTTTAACGAGAGTCAGTGGCCAATGATTTTTGTGCCCCTGACATTTAAAGATTAAATATTTATCTTGCACATCAAAAAATATTTGATATAGTAATATATTTTCATTTTTTTATTTTTTTTTATTTAATTTTAATTAGTTTTTTAATGTCTTAATCAAGGTCATAGGGTGGGTGGGGAGACGCCCTAATGCCCTCTATGGACCAGCCCCCATGGCCAGAATGTCCGAACTTTTGCATTGCAGAGGAGCTACTGTATTTTTACAACTTTTAAAGAGAGTCAGTGGCCAAAGATCTTTGTTCCCTAGGGCGGAAATACGTCACCAATCTGACGACGAACAAAACAGCTTCACTCATTATTAAAGATTAAATATTTGTCCTGCACATCTAAATATCTTAATATATGTCAAAATATTTTGATTTTAGAATTTTTTTTTTTGTTTTTTTTTTTTTTATGTTTTAATCAAGGTCATTGAGTGGGTGGTACGGTACGCTAGCGCCCTCTATTGGCTAGCTGCCACTGGGTATATATCTTACAATATTTATAAATCTTTTACACTTTTCGAACAATATTTTCAAACATGTACGTACTGGAATTAACAATATGAAAACAATCATATTTTTTCCATCAAGCAGAATCTAAGTTAAATAGAGATTGATGATTAAAAAGGAAGAGGGTGCAAATACTAGCAGGGAGGTCACACTCCTCAGCCTCACCTGGAAGGCTAATGCCAGGCTGTTAAACATCTGCTTAAGGAGATGCATTGTGGGGTTTTTTTTAGCTGTGGAGCACCATGAAGTTGTGTGAAGCGTTCCTAGTTTTTAGCTGAGAGGCAACAGTGTCATTATGGTCACAAAACCTTCTGCTAACAAACAGCTGGGTACGTAGCAGAGTAAAGTAGTTCCTGTGCTGTATGGGGCGTCTTTACAATTCTAAGTTTAACACACTGGAGCACACCGCCTGCTTCTTTATTGAACTTCCAGTTCACATAACATCCAGTTCAGGGTTCCCCAGGTAACCACGCCACGTATAACAGTGCACCCCCTCCTCTTGCTCAGCAGGCACACAGACCACATTCCACAAAGGGGAAGAATTTCTTAAAACAAACCCCCCAGTTACAACAATAAAGTGCCTTTAGATTACATGTCTTAAATTGGCACTATATAAATAAACTGAATTTAATAATTTGAATAAAATAACCACGTTATTTGATTATTTTTAATAGATCTTAAATAATACACAAGTAAAAAATTCCAAAAGTCAGTTTTGCCTACACACAGTGTTTGTATATGATCACAACCACAGCATATTACCCAAAATCTGATTTCTGCTTTCTTTCCTAAAGATGAATAATTAAAACTACATATGCATTGTTTTATAAAATGGATGACTCTGCAACACCTATATCATATTTAGGTATCACACGAACAAGAACCAACCATAGAGGTAAAGAAATTGAATGATACATATGCAAGTTTAACTTCAAAGCCAGTGAATTAAAAGGAATAAATGTTTTCTTTTTTGCAGTATCTTTATTGGTTGAGCAAAAAAATTTGAGACAAGAATGCAAGGCTGAGACATGACCCTAAATAGTATATTTGCACTACACAGTATTCATTCATAGATAGATAGATAGATAGATAGATAGATAGATAGATAGATAGATAGATAGATAGATAGATAGATAGATAGATAGATAGATAGATAGATAGATAGATAGATAGATAGATAGATAGATAATGTACAACATCTATAGTATGTTGACTTCACAGGAGCCAGGCTGCAGTATCTGCAGAGTGACAATGAGCTTAATAGCTTTTCTGAACCATGGATAGAGCAAGGCATATATCAAGGGGTTTAGACAGGAGTTAAAATAAAAAAGAAAGATCAAAAATGGTGCATATGCAGTACTGGTCACATTTATTTCAACAAGGGAGTAACTGTAATATGGACAGTAACACATTAGATATACGACAATGAGAACACCCAGAGTCCTGGCAGCTTTTAATTCTGATCGTTTTTGTGCTAAGTTTACTGAACGATGAAGTGTGAAAGCTGTAATGTGAGAGCGCATGGCACGAGCCTGAGACAAAGCCACTATAAATACTTTTATATACAGAAGTATAATAATTGAAACTGGGAATATAAAACTCAAAATAAGGTCAACAGTTCCAGTCACATAACTTATGACCAATGTACAGTCTCCAAAGCAAGATTTTCTTCTGCCTGGTTGAATCAGCTCATCTTTCATATAGAAAATGCTGTAAAAACCTGCACTAAGCCAACACATACCAATACAGCACTTGACTCTTCTTAAAGTGATCCTGGTTACATAATGAAGAGGGTGACAGATAGCTACATAACGATCAAATGATATCAGAACAATGCTTCCAATAGATCCAGAAACTATTTGACACACCAGGTAACTATAGAGAGAACACATAATATCCCCAAGGAACCAGCAAGCTGTGTTTCGAAAGATTTCTCCAGGCATCAACACGAAACCCACAAGAAAATCAGACACAGCCAGCGAAAGAAGAAGGAGGTTAGTTGTGGTGTGTAGATTCCTGAAACAAGACAGAAAAAAGTGGAAAACGCTGTGATAAAAGATCAATATAAAAATAACTGTTCACATTTCTAAACGGTAAAATTTTTCTTAAATCTTTGCCTGAAATGGGAAATAGAAATGATGATGAGCAGATTGAGAATTGCAGTGATCAGAGCAACGAAGGAAAGCAAAGTGTTCAGCAGCACAGTTTTTGACAAAGAAGATGTTATCCTCCTGCAGGAGTTGTTTAGGTGTGGAAAACAGAGCTCTGCTTCTT